GGGATTCTCCGTCGATCTCGAGGGTGTCAAGGAGGGTGCCGATGTTCAGGTTTACACCGTCACTGGCGAGAATGTGAAGGTTGTTAACACCGGCGACAAGAACCCTGTCGGTATTACTGAGAGCAAATGGGATGGCAAGGGCCCGTACGAATTCGCCAAGGCCTCAGTCACCCTGCTGAGATGGAAGCACTAGAGGGGTAACCTTGAAGGAGACGGTCAGTGGGAAATGAGGCATGGCTCCTCACATGATACCATTTGGAAGGGAACTTGCGCATGATGAGATATGATACGTCATCATAGCAGACTCGAGCCTCCAATGGAGGTGGGCTGGCAGGTCCAGCATCACGAGGTATCTATGCATACTTCTGCGCTTATCCGTACATATCGGACCAAACAGACAGCTCCAATCGATGCAAAAGTGCCTCAAATTGAGGCAGCGGAGTGAAAATGGCCTGCTCTAAAATGAAGGTGTTGTATTTTTCTGCTCATAGCAACTGTCGTTTAAGCGGATGCGCCTCTGTGTTCAAGACATACTCGTCAAGATCAACTAGGCTAGGAGGCGAGAAGATGAGATAGAAATACTTCAGCGTTTCCGCCATCCAGAAGCTCTGTAGAACCGTTAGTCTGCGTCCTATACTTGTCTTTGGCTCCTCGCAGATGTTGTGACTTACTTCCATTGAATCAAGCTTCTTCGTCTCTCCTCTGACAGTGACGTCCTCGATTGCCGAGTTGGCAATCTCAGTTTCTGTCGCATTTACAATAGACTGAAACATTGTCCATGCTATTTCCTGGTACTCCGGGTTTCCGGTCATCCTATACATCAGGAAGATACTTTCAATCGCCTCTGGACGCAGAATGTAGCGGGGGTCCCGCGCGTGTGAGAACCCCTTTTTCAACCCTGATGCGCCTTCGCGCTTCCACCGCCCCTCGTCCCAATTACAGCCATCCAGTGTCTCGCAAGGGACCATGCCAAAGATCTCCGGCATCAGACCTGTTGGGAATGAGTTGTACGCCCACCCGCAGCCGCGGGCCAGCCTTTCGGCGAGACCCATGTGCTCTTTGATACCGAAAAGCTTGCCGCCCAGCCCAAACATCCCGCCAACGAAGCACGACAAATGCTGGCTCTCGGGGTTGCGCCGCACATCGCCTTCGGCAAACGCTGTCCCAGAGAATAGGATATTCTCGTTGTCGGGGAGCATTGGACGAAATAGGAGGTACTGCTCAACAACGTGCATCGCATGTCGATACATCTTCTCGTAGGCTGGGTCCGTCCCTCCGAGCAGAGCATGCATCTTGGGCAGATACTCATACAGAGAGTCGGCGAGCGCTCCCAATGTGAACTCGTTGTGTTGCAAAACACTCTCATCCCGGAAGTTGATGAGCGCCGGCCACATACCTGGAAGTTGAGTCTCCCGCTGCGTGCTCTCGAGAAACAGCTTGACTCTCTCGATTGCGTCAAAGTACTTGTGGTCCCCGGTCACTTGCGAGAGTCTTGTGAACTCAAGCGATAGCGAGCATGGCGATGCTGAAGGATCCGATGTTCCAGCCACGAGCTTTCCCTCCTTAGCAAGCTGGAAATCCAACCAGAAAGGAGGCATCCTATTCGGCGTGTCAAAGGCCGCATACAGCATGTCGCCGAGCTCAATGGCCTTGAGCAACAATACGGGTTCCCCGCTAAGGTCGTACGCGCTCAATAATCCTCCGAGATGACGGATAGTAGTCTCAAAGACATTGACAGCCGTCTCCTTTGTATCATCCCAATCCATGGCCCCAATGACAGACAAGGCAGCGTCAAAATCATCGCGCAAGTCCATTATCCACAGGGAATCGAGCGCGTCAACCAGAGTTGCTGCATAACCGCCGAAGGTGTCTTTCCCCTTGGCCGTAACCGGCGTCAGCTCGTCAAAGCCCCACGCGTACTCCTTGTAACTATTCCAGCTCTTGACAAAGACTTCTCGGACCGCCGTTCGTCGCGATTCAGATTTCGCATCGTTCTTGCGCATTCGCTTGGCGCCAAAATTGAATTGGACTCGCGGGAGAGTCTTTGGCCGCTGTGTAGGTAGATGGTGCATTCGTGATGGGGATATGGGGTACTTGTGACGATGGTTGGCCCAGTCGAAGCTACTCTTTACGAGGCGGATGTTGACATGTTCGCGGACGACGGGAGGCGTTTCCCTGCTGGAACGAAGGCTGTGGAAAGCAAAGAGACCGAAAAGGATTACGGCGATGATTATGACACGCCGTTGTCGTCGATTGGCCATCTTGTCATGTCGAACGGGGGTTTGTCGACTATTCGTATAGTTGTTCAGGATACTCTCAGGGAGCTTTGACTGGAGAGTTCGCGACGGGAAGCCATGGTGTAGGGCCACAGCTGCTCAATGTCAGCTTCAGACAAAGCATATAACCGAGGGGACATTGTGTCTCAGGAGCCGCCACGTAGCGCGTTGAGCTGGGTCCCTTGAGACGAAAGTGACCGTGGTGGCTCTCAAGGTTTAAGCGTTTTGAGGGGCGTAGGTACGGAGTAGTGCAACCAGCAATGCGAGCCTTCAGAAAAGAAATGGGGTTCGAATCAGGGGTAAGGGGTAGTCCGTACCGGTTAGGTGGAGTTCGGGGCCGATACTTTCTCCATGTTTGGCGCCGGGCTCCATCCGGGCTTAACTGTTCCGCCCTGAATCCCCGCCATGCAGATAACTCGAAGTCATCAGGTTATGGCACCTTGGCTTCGGCTTGTAAACCCTTGGGGGTTGTTACTAGCAACAAGCTCAGAACATCAGGACGACAGCCCTTGATGTCTCCTCTTTAAACACCTTACGTGCCTAGAAGTGCAGGCCATGATCTTCCAGCCCTCTTTCAAGGGAGCAGGCAGTCTCTCCCCACCAACACCCTTGGAAGATCCCTTGCCCTCTCAGTTCGCAACCATCTGACAGAAGCTGTCAGAAGTAGTGGCGAAACTTCGTTGAGATCAGCTACTATGCATGTATTTTGGGCGAACACTATCGGGAACTGATCGGGAGGAGGCAGGCTTCAGACGTTGGTCCTGCGTCTTAGTTAAAGTTCGGTGAGGCAGCGCGTTTTTAGTAAATACTTGGTAAGAATATGAAGCAGCTGCATGCAAAAAGGGAAGGGACAAGAAGGGAAAACACAAAAAAAAAAAAAAAAAAAAAAAAAAAAAAAAAAAAAAAAAAAAAAAAAAAAAAAAAAAAAAAAAAAAAAAAAAAAAAAAAAAAAAAAAAAAAAAAAAGAAGAGAAAACTCCAATGGACCTTGATTGTTTGAAGCATAGAATTTGCGCTGTTTTGTACAGTCAAATTTGCTCGGGCATATCACCTTGAGTCGGGAAAAGTCAATGATGTACTGTGCCGCGTGTGAAGTAGACGGTTGATAGCCGATATCTACGGTGACAATTTTGTTGAGCTTCCAAACTGTGTCAGAGGTGGCGCAACTAGCCGCTGGCCCGGAACGCTGGAACAGAACGAGACCATTCTTGGTTGGATGGCGATTGCTTAACCAGCAAATTGCATTTTACTCTCACGATTTGAGCAAGTTGACCATTCCAGCATCGGTGCTGTAAGTTGTCAATCAAGCTCGCCGCAAAGTCACCGTGTCGGCCGTTGCTCATGCCGGAGATGACGCCGTTAGCAGATCAATTCTCGTTAATCCTCGTCGTCTCTCGGCGTCCGACTGGAGCCGGCGTGCTGGGGTGTTGGGTGACTCCGCGCAGAGACCCTAGCGATTCCCAACCAGAAGCTCAAGCAAGCGACATGCCAATCCAACCAAATCTGTAGATTTAGAACCTTAGTGGTGATTTAATTCCAAGAAAACAGAGGGAGGCTGAACACCGTCCCTCTCTCTCTCTCTCTCTTTTCATTTTCTTTTTTTGGCCGCAGTCTTTTTTTTCTCGATCGTCAACGACATTCTCTGAGACGGGCGGGGCGAGAGGAGCCAAGTGACTTCGACGACAATAGGCTTCTTCCGCAAATCAAAGAAAAGTCATCAAAGCCTACAGCCACTCGGTTGACAGCCCGAGGCACTAAAGGGGTCCTTGAAGTCAAGGACCAAGTTTAGCTACATCCATTTTGTTGCTCACGGGCAAAAACCTGCCGATGACAACCACATTGGCTTGACTGAGTTTAAGTTGTCACTGATCGCAAAGTATCGGTACTTGAGAGTCGTGTGAGCCACACCCGCTAGTGGACTGCCCTGTATGTAATAGACAAGAAGAGCCATACAAAATAGTATTTGACAGCCGGTCATGCTCCCATGGTGGTTTGCATCCTCGCAACAAGTGGTTCCATCTTTACTGCAAACATCTCGTAGTGTTCAATCTGGTATTTCCAAGTTCCTTTCGTCTACCTTCCCTGACTTGTCACGCTGTCTAATGTGCTAACGCAGAGACATTGCGGTGGTTCATTAGCATCAGCTAAACTAGATCGTCCGTCATCCTTTGTGCGTCCACGCATACCCAATTGCCACCCTCCTGTACCACACAGTCGGGTCTGAGGTAGGACAAGATCGAGCAGCAGCGGATCTGCGACTTGAACTAGCTTGTCACATCCACGTACCGCTCTCTGAGAGTCTCATCATCTTTTTGCGATTTTGTGCAACCACGCTCATCTCACTCGATTTCATCATCACGAGGGCTTTGTACAAGATCAGAGACCACGGCAAGTCAGTAACATCATGGATGTTAAAGCGCCACCGCCGTCATCAGCGAATCAGCAACTACACGCATAACTTGAAGGGAAGAGCTATCAATTAGTCATAACCAAACCACAATATGGACACAATGAGCGCGATGGCTTACTTCACAACCTTCTGCGTCTGGGCTGAGTTGAAGAACAAGGCATTGAGCCGATTCCGCTGGGAGAGCGCAAATCAACTCGATACTTCAATGCATTTACTGTCTGGTGCTCTATGAATGCCAGTATTCTTCCGTGTATTAGACTAACTATCAAGGGTGCGAATGTTGTCTGTTAACAGCACTCAAGGATCACGTTCGGTATGCTGGGTCCTTCGCTCTTTGGTCTCAATCTCCGCGACTCGTCTCTGATTGTTCTCTTCTTCACGTTGCTGTCAACGTTGGCCCCGGCCCTTCTCGCAACGCTTGGTCCCAAAACGGGTATGCGCTCGACGATACAAGCGCGATGCAGCTTCGGGTCAGTCATCTCGCCAGCCAAGGTAACTAGGGATTGCTGACCTCTTTCCCCAGGCGCTACCTTGTATCGGTGCTAGTCATCCTCAAGCTCGCTACATGGATTAGATTTTGTATCATTGTTTGCGTCGTTGGTGACCAGTGTTCATCGGCCGGCACCAATGGTGCTCTCAGCCGGCTTGTAGTTCAATGTTTAGATCCTGAGAACCAAAATAAATTTCACATGATCTGAAGACAGCAGTGCAGTTAAAAATGCCTTTGTGTACCTAACTCGCTGTTAGCCACATAATCTTGTGTCAAGTCTTTTTATGGGATCGACGCCTTCCTCTTAATCACAAGAGAACCTGGTTCTAACTTAGGTTATTGAAGTTATCGCGCAGCCACGGTGACATCAAGAGGACGGAATGGTTCCTGTATTATTATCAATGCGAGATTTGATATTCAGATTGCGAATGATTCCAGTAATTTGTTCCAAGGCGTTCAATCGCAAAGACAGAAGTCAAGTCCCATCTCGTCACTAGCATGGCTGAGAAAGTTTGATAGCAGGCGGAACGGGATATTCTGCGAATTGTACGATGGGATCTGCCCAGGTATACATAATCGATCGTCACACAAGACGAGAAGACGAGCTTGTCTTCTAAAAAAGAACTTTGACGTGGGTCTGGATTTGACAACTGGGGGTCCAAGTTTAAACTTCCATCACACGGTTCGGACAAGGCGTCATGCGATTCATTCTCGAGCAACATGAAACAGGGGGCCTAGAGCCCAACTCCCCGTGAATAGCAGCACACCTGAAAGGCAAGCCCAGTGAGAAAATCATAGTTGATGATTTATTGAACGCTCAGCAGGTCGGCTCGCGCGGCAGATGATTTACGCAACACCCAGATCGGCCGGGGTTACCCGCGTGTTTTACGCCTGACTTTTACAGCCCTTTAACTCGCTCACCTATTGAGCTCCTCGGCCATGCCGGTCCTACAACACGCACGAGTACTACGAGGTACTTGCCGGCATCCGTCATGTGATCAGTCTCCGATGAATCTATCTGAAGCAATCGACAGCCCATTTAGCGGGGCCACGTCAGGCACCGCAACGTCACCAACTATGGCAGTCGTTTACTCTCGACACAGCAGTAGTATGACTGCGGCAAGCAGGCAGTGCTCAGATGGCAAAACAATGATGTCCGAACCCGGGGGGAATACTAGGGTCAGATCCCACTGCGCTGCCTCCCCGCTGCATATCATCCGGTCACTACCCCAGGCTGCTGGACTGTCTTGATGGCAGTAGTCACCTCTTCCATTCATTCCCTTCCGAAAACACTCGCTTAGCTATCTTTCGGAGCTTCCCATGAGACCAGGGTGTGGAACCTAGGCCCAATGGCTTCCACCCAAGGAGACCATGCGGGAACGGGGCAACACGAGCCACGGTATCCAGAGCCAGTGGCATCAGCGGAGAGACGATCCAGGGTCAGCAGTGAATCTTCACGACACTCACGGACATCGGGCTTTTCTTGGTTTCGGCTCAGCGCGGACGGTCGTCCCTGGGGCCCAGTTGACGAGCTTAACCTCTACATGGGCACCGCCTTCAGCAGCATTCCTGACGACAATGAGTCGGCTCGATCGCCTTACTTTGCCCCTTCGGCCAGTGATTGTTCAACGATCTCGGAGAAAGATTCATCATACATCATCGACTGGAAGAAGCCGCAACATTCCGAAAATTCGATGCATTGGGCAATGAGGTCAAGATTGGTGCAGATCCTGCTTGTGGGTAATTCCATGCTAAATGCGTGAACAGCTTAGTTTAGGCTCGAGGCGACTTGATTGTCTCATCGTGCAATTACTGACGTGTTTCTCTACGTAGGGCAGTTGCCTCACCCGCTCACGCTCACGCCGTACCGAGCATTCTTAGGCAGTTCAGCGCCCTAAGGGGAGTTCTGACTTCACGCATTATGTCTAGGTTTACGGTACGGAAGATATCCAGCATGTCCCATCTCAAATCGACTCCATGACAGCAACCAAGCCTGTGCTGTCTCGCACAGCCTTGGCGTCTTGCTTGTCTTTCGCTTTATCAGCTGATGTGCCGGTGCCTGCCCACTTTCTATCGGAGGCCGTAGGATCATTTGGTATAGCCATCATCTTGGTCCACACAGAGACCTCTGTGAAGAAACTGCTCGAGAAACGCCGTAGAAAGATCAGAACAGCCACATGAGATTACAAGTTATATTCAATCTCGGCTATAGACGATGGGGTTTCGACAGCGGAGATTTCCTCCAGGGTTACGAAGAGGCATCACGGCTTTTTGTTCTACATTGAGTGGTCCTCGCACATTCTTCTTATGTCGCGTTCTATATGGATACCTGGTATGTTTTCTGCCCATCTACACCTAAGAGTTCTTTGTACCTTTCTAATATGCTATTCAGTTACCTCTTCTCCATAGCATTACTGGTGGCCTTCATAGGCTAGTCGGCTTTCAGCCACCTCTTCTCGTCTCACGTGTATGAGGATAGAGATAGGGAATGTATTTGAATAATACCCGTCTCAATCAGGGGTGGTCATTTTGCCGCAACGTTGCTTCACAAATATGGAGTCAGGAGACCTGAATCTGTCTACCCCTCATGGCATACTCCGTATCCATGGTTCGACTCGGGGTGCTTTTATATGGGTATTTGAAGCTGTCGTTTTGATGGTTCCAACAATCGGCATAAGTATCGTTGGCGTCGGTATCATATATGTCTTCATAGGTAAAGGTTACCCTAAACTCGCTAATAATGCGAGTCTCGATTATCAGAATCCGGGTATACTGACAAGTCTTCTAGACCCTCCCTTGCGTCCTACCTTGTTGACACGATCAGCACACATGTCGCCTCCGCACCCGCTGTTTCTACTGTTTCGCGGAGTGTTGGAGCAATCTTACCCCTCGCTGGCCCTCCATTGTATTCTACTCTAGGGCTGTGGCGGGAAAACACGTTTCTTGCTGCAATTCCAATCATTATGGCAGCAGTACCGTGGGTAATTTGGAATAGAGGGCTGCATCTAGGGAGAAATATGCCCATTTTGTACATCAGAAAGCATTGCTCAAGCGAATCTATTCAATATGCTGGTAGACTGCCTCATCAACGGTGATTTTCGATATGATACGGTCATTACACTCTCAGCGTCTATGAAGCTATTTTCAAAGTCGACAAGACGATCTTCGGCTCCGGCGCTAATTTCGAAGCTTAGAGTCAAAGTGAACAAGACGTTTAGTCAAGGTGTTCTATTTTTCTCATGGCACATGACCGCTCAACTATCTACATGGAGCTCAACATTGCGTCGAGCCAATAATGCTGATGCTCAAATGAGGATTAGCATCGTTGGTACAAGTACTGTTTGGCAGATGTCCTGGGTTCCTTCGCATGCTCACCTTCTCTGTCCGATACGAGATCTTTATACGAAATCGGGGTTTTCCCCAGCCGTTGCCGTCTGGAGGGAACGTTATTGCTTCGTCTTGTCCTTACCGGACCATCACCAGTTGACAAGAACTGGTAACAAAGAGGGGTACACTACGGCCTAGAGTATGAATTATGTCCGAGAATTTGCCCGTCGGACAAGACAGACGACTCGCCGGAGTCAAGCGTCGGCCGATCAACTTCTCCAAGTTGAAGGATTCGGCAAAAGCTACGTCGCGTCAAACATTTTGAGACTCTGCATGATTTTTGGGCGCAAAGAGATGAGGCTAGAAAAGCATCTTTGCATTCATAGCGCCTTGAGTGATTCCAAATGGACTGGCTTGTCATGTACATTATCGTCGTAACATCATCGCGATGATCCGGATCACCGCAGGGCCTACACAGCAGCATCAAAAACACGAAAACCACTGTCAGCCTTGTGCGTCCGAGGAGTCGCATATTCCGAAGCCATCAGAGGGTGGGCGAAGCCCACATCCAACGACACCCACCTGAGACTGTACAACCTCCCCAGTGATAGTTGCGCGTCCAGCTGATCAAAATACAAACAAATGTCGTGGCAAATCACAAGGCCGCATTCTAATGTTGACTCTACTCGGAGGGTTGCCTAGTCTCCCCGACCTTCTGGCTCTCATTGCATTCTTCCATTGCGTCAAGTGAGTTGTCAAGCCTGCATACATTGCGTGTATCGGGATTAGTCGCCCCTGCAGTTTCCTCGGACAACCTTTGGCAAACGGCCATGGAGGTCGAAACGAGATGGGAAGGCAGCCTATTGAAGAATAGTCGGTCGAAGAATGAACATGCCGGCTTATCTACGATACGAAGCGGCAGCGGCTCCCCAGCCCCGAGTAGACGCGTCAATAGTCCTCGCACTGGAGACCAAGGACTCTGAGACATCCACCCACACCGCTTGGCCGCAGGCTTGGAGTCACATGGCAAGTCACAACCCCAGGCTACTAAACAAACGGGCGTTCCTTCCGTGACCGCGTAGCCGCCGCCCAGTCCGTACGGATCCCAGAGCTTGGGATTGTGGCTTGATCTGATAGTTAGGCTGCTAGCGTCCCATTGGGCAAATTCAATGCGATTTTGTACATAACAGGTTTGGTTTTGACTAACAACAAACCATGGAGCTACCTAATATGAGAGCTGAACCACCGTACGCTATCCTATAACGCAAGAGGATCAAACGTAAAATAGTGAATCAAGCTCTTGATAATTTATGTAGCTTCATAATATTGTGTTGGTGATGGAAAGATGACGGGACTTACGCTCCGGAAGGCATGCATGACCTTGAAGTTCCTGTCCTTACCCCCACGAAAAGCATAAGAGCCAGCCGCGTCGAATGGAATAGCGGACGTCACGATGGCAAGGGACACCACGCATCTACACCTTGGTCAGCAGACCCCTCAGATCCACCTTGGATTGTCAGACCCTCATTATCGATCTTTCGGAGCCAGAGTTTAAGAGAAAGATCCGTAGTACGATGGAAGAATGTCACTCTGTGGCCTGTAACACAGCGGGTATGTCTGAAACCTGGGGCGAGAGCTCACGTAAAACCGAGTCTCTAGAATTTACGCGTCGTGATGGCAAGATCCGAGACTACCGGGCGCCACACGAAGAAAGACGATAGGTAAACCAACCTGCTTGCCACAGGCGGACTGGAACGCGCCGGGAAGGAGGGGTGGGTGGGGATCATGGGGTTCGAGATGATGTGCCAAAGATATCTAGAGCAAGACGATCTTATGAAAGAGGGTGTGCAGATGGTGGCTGCCAATGAGACCGTCCTACCCTGACTAGAACTTGTTCCCTGCTCAGAGGACGCCATGTTCGATAACAGGGTCAGTGCTACAGCAGAGACTTGGCTGAGGTTGGTTCGGGATGACTGTTAAGCATAAGACAATAGCAGGGCATTCTTATTCGCTCAGACGAAGGAGTCGGAAGTCGGAATGGCAGTTGGGTAGTGACAAGGGACCCAAATGGTACGATGTGGCTTCTTCTATATCCGCAATATGGCACTTGCAGATTCGCATGTCCTCGATGAACATTGTACATCTCTGTCAGTTCAACGGTCAAAGAGGAGGAAGAGATCAACTCCGTAGGTCTGACATGACGCCGTCATAGGGCTACTAGTAGACTAGCTCCGTGGCTGGCCGTGGCTTCTCGGCCAGCATGGTAATAATATGGGGTAGTGGCTTGAAAGCAAGAAAAGAGATGCGGGCTCTCGGGGGGCGAGGTTGGATTAGCCAAGGGGTAAGTCATGCGGCATTCCTCTGGGTCCATCAAGAGCAGCAAGCACAATACGAGAAAGATTGGGGTGATATTCAACTTCATCGAGAGAGGATTGGGAGTGGGGTGTTGGAGGACGTACATGATGGTGTGAAGGATCGGGAAGGGTGAGCGGAGACTAGCAGTGATTTGTCTGACTTCTTTCTCATGCGGCCGCCACGATGACCGCCTTTTCGTGCCAAATCGGACAGATGAGTGAACGTAAGCGCTTTATGCCAAGGATATCTGCCATTTCCTGTCATGTTTGCTCGGCGTGCTTCTCACTAAGAAATAGGCGGACATTTTGTAGGCTTCTCCGGACTACAGGTTGTGCTCCTGGCAAGCGACTGGGATTCGAGCTGCGAACTGCTGCGAGTAACACCGGTCGCATACATAGCCGTCCGATGCTAGCGACAAAAAGTTGGCCAGTCGGACAACACTTGAACATGGCAGTGGACCAGCTGGAAAGTTCATGAGAGTTCAGCCACTCGACGTGACGCCACATTTGGAGCCGAGAACTGACCACCGTTTGATTTGGTCGATTGGGGAATGCATGGTGAGAAATGTGAGTGGGTGTAGCTAGTGAACATGGTACCTATTGATGTGATGGGGTGAACGGAACGGGCGGACAAGTTGAGAAATCGACCTAGGTCTTGAAGGAGGGGGGTCGTGATGGAGGGTGGGGGTTGGCCGTGAAGTCGTCAAGAGCAAACGGCGGGGAGGCTGAGGAGAGATCGGCGTAGGGAATGAGAACCCTTACATCCTTGCTGCGCTGGGGTCCGAGGATTATGAGTCTTTGAGTGCCTGCAAGGTCTAGAAGCAGTGGTGGACTAGGGCGAAAAGGGATTCACTGGTCCAGACCGGGAAGAGTGTGGCTTGACCCGGGAATGTTGATGGAGCAATGACGAGGCAGCTAGTGGTGCCGAGCGAGAACTTGGTTTACTTGGATATGGACGACTGTGTGCGTGAAACAGAGGTCCGAGGCGGTGAGCTGATGAGAGCGGTTCGCCAGTCGGGGAGAGAGTGAGAAAAAAGTGAGAGGGAGAGGGTGCGTAACCGTTCAAGTCACCAGGAGAGTCGCCCTGGGCGGTCCATGATTCATGATTTGATGTGTCTGTAGAGGCATCACGTCTAATTTGGAATACCGAGCTTGTTCGGAGTGCGAGGAGTGTCAAGAACATGTCAAGAATGATGGCAGAGCCAAGGTGTTAGTTACTAAAGGAATGGAGACATGTAGCTTTCCCATTTCATTTTTAGGCGTAGACGCGCGATGCGCCGGCCTTTCGCGTTTGGCTCCGCCAGTCTTTAAAGAGCATGCCTGGTTCAGACGACATGGAGCTCCCCATCAGAAGATGCGGGCTCTACTGGGATGTTTCACTCGAGCAGCGAGCTGCAAAGCTTGGAGGATGTATCCGTATCCGCAGGTGTCGAGTAAAGTCCCCAGGGTATCTTGGGGGGCAAAGAAAGGAAAAGGACAAGCGGGCAAACCTGGTCGATGCAGGGATCAGCATGGACGATGGCGGACGGCGGGCCGCGCGGAGAGGTGGACGAGCCTTGCGAGCTTCAAGGTCAAGGTTCAAGCTACCCTTATCCATGAAGCGATTGCGACGACGAAGGGGGAGGGGAGATGACTGGAAACCCATACTGTTTACGGAGTGTGGTGGTTTGACAGGAAGTTGAACGACGTTGGCGTAGCAGCCTCCCTGCAGCATCGGACCTTTCCCGGGCATCTTTGTACGATGTGACTGTGCGCCCACGGGGTAGAGTTTGTGCGAGAAAGCACGACAGCTACGATTTCGTCTTGGCTCGCAATCAACGCGGGTTCAAGGGAAGCCGACGATGAAGGGGACAGGATGTGGCTTGCTGCTGCTGCTGCTGCTGCTGGGGCGCTGCGCTGCCATCTTTTCCCAAGGCACAGATATGGCTGGCGTCATCGGGTTGAGCCAGGTCTGGCCGATGCGGTTCACCGAAAGAAGGCGACTGTCGTCGGGTAGCTGCATCATGCTGACCTTGTCCCAAAAGGAGCCGGTGAGACGGGTGGCTACTGGCCGAAGCTGCAACGGGGTCTCAAAGAGGAGGCAGATGCAGGTTTGACTGGGGCAGAACGGGTTCGGAGGGACCGCCACGGAAGAGAAACAGGTCAGGGAAAACTGTCCGATGAGCAACAAAATCCTTGAGAGAAGAGAGGCACTGGGGCACTGCCGGCCGGGGCAAAGATGACAAAAACCGCACCTAGCCACTTGCTGGAGGTGTCGTTGTCTCGGCAGCTGAACCCCTGCGAGGCGAGCCAGCCAGATGGCAGAGGTTGGCGGACAGGAGTGTCAACTTGTCAAGAATAGCCATCATGCAAATAGGCAGCGAAGAAGGGATATCTATGTCTGCGGGTTTGACAGAGACTCGCCGGGCTGCTTGATAACACGCCCTCTGGTATTACAGGAGAGACATGCGTCCGTCGGAAGCTGAAGACGCCGTCGGCCGGGAATCGGGCTGGGCAAGGTCACTAGGACTTTGCGATGCTGAGAAGGCACTGTGACATCGCGAGGTGAAGTCTTTAAAAACCCCCGGGTTGGTAAAGAGTAAAAAACACACTGAACGGTCCATGGTCGGCGTGGGGGACGTTGAAATGTAAGAAGAATAACCAGATCAGTACGTACGCACGAACAGGGCGGGAGGGAGCCAAGACAACGATCGGACTGAGCAATGCGCCGGTCTCGTATGGCCCTGGGGTAACTAGCAATTACCAACTACTTTGCTACTTGACCTATTCGTACATGTTCATTACTTGCTACTTCTTACTCGTTGAGCTTTGCTGCAGCGATCAACCCTATCTGTCTCGTCTAGCCTAGTCTTGTCTCTTCCCTTCTGTCTCGTCTGTGTGTCTCTCCCGTCACTGGGCACTGAGGTATTCCCCGTCGAGCGGCTGCATGCGTAAACAGACTCTAATACTGCGTAGCACGAGCAGCATGCGGGTGTGTGTCTGCGTGGGGTGGGATTCATCGCATCGGGTTGCGTTTGATGTCGCACAGCTGCAACCCTGGAGCGGCGACGACTCGCGCGCGGCCCCGCGCCTTGCCCGACATGGCAGGTTAAGCTTGTAGGGAGCAGGTCGCAGTTGAACTGCCATGGCCCTTCTCGATTGCTTTTCTCACGTCTGACTGACGAGTCAAGATTGTCGAGTGACGGGCTTTGATGTAACTCTCTGTGTCCTTGGGACGAGACGTCGCTCTGCAGTTGAAGGGTGAGGTAGTAACGCAGCAGGTCAAAGACAAAGACCCGTGATGCTAGATGGGCTCGAGATAGGCGAGACACTGGGCAGACCCCTTCGGCTTTGCCATGGGCATTGAATGAACCCTGCGATGCAAGATCAGAGAGATGAGAAAAAGCAAGTTATTGAGAGACACGGGCGGCTTTAGGGGTTCGTCGGCATGGACCATGATTGGTGCCGATGATGTTATTGACGGACTCTGATATCGAATATTCCCGCCATTTGAGGTCTCGGAACTCAAGTACGACCCCAATGCGTCGAACATCTGAGATGCGAATCCAAGATGCACATCATCGACTGAGACGCTCATCGATACGAGTGAATTGAGTCAACGCAGTTGTGAAAACACGAGGCAAGCAGACAAATGTTTGCTGAGGGTCCAATCGTCAAGATGTCGCACAGAGCGCCAGGCGCCTGAAAAGGATCCCAGCATGCTGGTTGCTACTGTGACACGGGTGCTTAGTGCAGCAGATGGCCTCACCATCGTTGACAAACGTGCGATGGATGATTGATGTAGAACTTGCTGAGAATGAAGGTGGGACTCATGGAAATCTCATATGAAGACTGAGTGAGATGAGACGAGGTAGGCGGTATAAGCTCTTCCAGATCGCCTTTGAAAATCTCCAGAGAAACCTCAGAAGCTGCGTGTGTCTACAAGATTTCGCTGGTACTTTAGGCTTCACAGACGACCGGTATGTAGCAAAGCGGCAGCAATCCTGGTGTGGGTGGGCACAAGTGGTTGGCGATCCCACGGCTCATGATCCATCCAACACTGACACCCGCTTTTGGCACCCTGGCTCGCCTCCTCCCGACGCACAGCGGTGATGGGAGGTGCGGCATGTGTCGAGAAGGGAACCGGTATTTCCAACCACACTCCTCCCGCACGGCTGACTGCACTTCACACCGTATCCTTTCCCCATTCATTCTTACAAGTGTATGTATCATTGAGAGGTGGCCCCCTTGTTGGACCCCTCCGTGACGGTGAGCCCAAATGTCTTGACCTGGACAAGATGGGTGGCTGAGGGGTACGGAGTAGAGGATGAGTGTATCATGGGGTCGCCGCGTGATGGAGGCACGCCACCTGCTTTCTGAACGGATGGTGGTGAAAGGGGGGTTGACAATGACAAGAAATGAAGTAGAGACATTTGAACATTAGGTGTGGTGGGTGCGTACTCGTGTGTATCTCTGCAGGCCTTGAAGAGTCGAAGAAGGAAGGGATCAAATGTTTGCTCGTACGAGAAACAAGGTGAATGTCTTGGGGTGCGAGGAGTGAGGCTCGACTAACACGGCGTTCGGGCGTGGCTTGGCGTGGATATGGATATGAACATGGGGTTGGAAGAGGTGAGGAGGAGTGCGGCAAAATGGATGGCAGCATGGGTGAAGCGAAGAGGGGGCGAAGGCGTGTTCATCAGATACCCTTGATGTAGATGCCTACGGCAGATACGGCATATGGATACTGTTGCGTGTGCTTGGGATACTGAGAGGAGTGTACAACTTGCTTGGGATGAAGGGCTAGACTACCTCGCTTCAATGGAAGTGAGGTATCGTGGGCGTACTGTTGTGGAGCGAGACCTACATTACTTAGTATGAGGCGAGCATGAAAAGAGGGTGCTGCTTGAGAACTGAGCTTCATGCTGCCGGCATGTCCATGTAGGTATTATTTTGCTGTTTGCTTGTACTTTTACTCAGCTCAAGGCAAGAGAGAGAGAGAGGTAGGTATGTTGTGAGATGGGGTATATGAGGGTGGGTGATTCCGAGTCTGCCGTTAGAAGGTATCCATCCTTCAGTCCCACGGTCCCATTCCTCTCACCTTTCGCACCATCTGAATCTCATTATTAATAGGAGCAACGCCGTCTCTTGAAGCTGCCTAGCTTAGCGGCTTCAAAGTTGGCTGCCCGCGCCTCACCCCATCTCAAAGCCCTTTTTGGGAGTAAGAGGAAACCAAAGCTCCAGCCTCCAACCAGCTCACCAGAGCATCAACACCGTCGATTGCTTACCGAACCCTCCACCGCTCCGAGTGAAGCGCCACGGTCCGCCAGGCCTGAAAGATGACCCCTGAGCATCGGCAGTGCTTTATCTGGATACTGGACCTTTGCCGCAACGGATAGCTGGGATTGTCATCGCCTCCTTGACAACCTGAACCCCCGCTTCAACGCCCGCTGGGGCAATTCACTTCCCTCCTGTTCGCTACAGAACTACTCGGCAGCACATGGAGAGAAACACCCATCAGCACATCGTCACTGCTTCTGGAGTTTACCTACTAGGTCTTGCAGCTTAGCACTTGCTCCTTCGAGGTACGTACATAATCTTGATTACGTTCTGCCAGCCACGAGATACTCGCCTCTCCGTCCTCCAGCAAGATCCTGGCACGTTGAGGCTGTCTGGTCCAGTTGATCTAATCTCCAACCTCCCAGGTCAAGGCTCCAGAGAGGGCCGAACATCTGATTCGCCGATTGGGTCATCTGGCGGTATCTTGGTATCAGCTTCCGCCATCACCGACCCCAGTTGCGACTCTGAGCATAGAACCTCGAACCTCGACCCTCGCTGGACCTGAATCAACTTTGACTCTCTGGTCACGGACCGTTCACTGTGTTCACTATTACTATTTCCTCTTTGCTTGTTCCACTTCACTCGCGTCACCCGCAACGATATCCAGCAAGTCTGACACTGCAAACCCCCTCCATCTTATCTTGATACCTCACCCTACCTTACCTTACCTTACCTTACCTTACCTCCGGATCCCTCAGTTATATCTGTCTGGTCGCCCCCTCTTAACCCCTTCTCATCCAGCCGCCTATCTGTGCTGGATACTCCGTACAAGAGCGCGTCAGATCACCCTTTGGATCGACTACCTATCTCGAGACCATCACTGGCGCCATCGTTGCACACTTGAGCAGAGAAAAGAAAGACGGTCCCTTCCTTTGCGCTACGCTACATAACGCTACCGAGACCACCGCCGCGCCCCGCCGCCTCCTGTCCCACTTGGAATTTCCCCTCCATCGCGTGCTCCAGCGTCCGACTCTTACAATAGTCCTTACCTAGCACCTCCGGCCCGGTAGCATCGTCGCCCGTCTCTCACCTTGCAGACGATACTCACTACTGGACCTTGACATCTTACGGATCCCCAAGGCAAGGTCGGCAGCAGCCTATCCACCAAGGTTCTCCGTTGAAGATACCAACGACGGAATCCTGACTCGAGACGACGACGGACGCAGCTCGGCTTCAGCACCAGACACCGGGATACCCCCCCCCCCCTTCAAGTGTTCTTGCTGCTCACTCACTCACTCAATCACCTCACCTAAGCAACGCTCTGCGTGCTAGGTAATCATTCCCGTTGCCGCTGTCCCTGTTGACCTGAGTTATTCCCGATCAGAGTGGAGCAGATTGCAACATTCATCACACATACTCATCAACAACATCACTCACTCACACGCTGTCATCGTCCTTCACCTTTGCAAACCGCATCTGACCGAGGCGCACCGCTTTTGCCGCCCGCACGGCATCCTTGTCGCACCTCACACCTCATACCTCACACCTCATACCTTACATCTCACACTTCACACATTCCGCCTCACACACACACATACACACACACATCCATCACACACCCACTATTACTATTAGCTTCTTGCCCGTTCTCACATCGCACACCACTCGCTTCTCCAAGGCCGCTGACATTGCTGTCTTTCTGCCCACCTCAGGTACCGACCGTGTGGACTGGGCCTGGACTGCTGCGTGATCCTCAGGGACCAAGACCTCGAACCAAGGAGACCTGGAGAGCTCGTGTTGTCGTCTCACCTCTCACCTCTCACCTCACTAAATTCTCTCTCATATCTGGCCTACACTATCGCCAGGCCATCAGCTACGCGTACTCGATACAGCATACCTACCCCGTGCTGCTTGGACCAGTTTCAATCGCAGTGCTAGCCATCACTGGTCACCACTGGTCACCTGTTGACCTCATCTCAGTGAGAGCGCTCGACCTCAGTGACCTCAGTAACTTCCACTCAGTGAGAGTGAGAGTGAAAGTGAGGAGCGTCCCCCCCCCCCCCACCACCACCACCACCACCGACCGTCTCCGGCCGGCGAAAGCAGCCCGCTCGCTGCCCTGCAACTGGGGCCCCTCGGCGAGTCCATAGCGCTCTCTGCCCACTGAAGGCGCAGCGCCCGCAGCTCCCGCGCTCTTCCCCCTCCACTATCTGCGCCTGCGTCTTCCCGCCTTTTCCACTTCGCTCCTCTTCTTTCCCTCTTCTTCCTCCTCGTCCTTGAATCTCCCCCTCCACACTTCCTCCACCTCCCCTCCTCCAGCCAAAATGCCTTCGACCAACGGCTCCGA